AATTCATGACATTGCATATCAATTGTGTGGTTGCTCCTGGATATAATCAGCTATAACCTTATCATGAGTTGGAGTCTGAAAAATAATATAAAACAAATAAATAAAAGCATCACTAAATAATTTTTTGGACAAATCTGGCTAGGTCTGTATTAATAAGCCAGTGAAAAACTTATTATATAATGTATTTAATTTATTATAATAATTATTATTATAATAATAATATAATAATAATAATATATTATTATAATATATATTTATATGTATAATATATTATTATATAATATATAATACTTATTATTATAATTATTATTATTATGATTGTATATTATAATAATCAAATCATTGCAATATGTATAAGGTTATATAATTTAATTTAATAATTGAAAAGAACAATCCTACATAAGTACAGTAATTACCATTCTACATACTTAATTACCTTTTTTGAAATTGCCCTCAGCCAATAGGTCTTCGACATGTGGCTGGACATCATCTTCAGCTACATGATCATCATGATTGATGAAATCATCATCTGGAAAAAAATTAATGATTTTTTTTTAAAGCTTTAAAAAATATCATATACCAATAGGAATTACAGTACTACTACTCCTGGTAATGTAGACAAGTTTATAAGATAGGCCAGGAGTTAAATTACAATTAATTTGTCAGTCAGCCCCCGTCACGTGACATGTTGTTTGTTATTTTGTTTTGCTTAAATCTATCATAAGTTTTTATTAAGTACAATTTACTAGGCCTATGTGTGGTGAAATAATCCTTTTAAGTAAACAATGTGTAGGCTATCCACGATAATTAATTGCTGGAACCGGACGGATCGCGTATCCTAACTAGACTGTACCTAGCCTATACTTTGTATTTTCACTCTATAGCTAGCCTCTTCTTCTAGGCACTAGGCCTAGTGAAAATAGAGATAGTAGAGGCTCTAGGTCTAATTGTAGAGTTTGCTAGACTCCACAGGTTACTTAACTACTACGTAAGACTACCAAAGTACAATTATAAAGACTAACAGAACTCATGCCTGTGACTCACCATGGTTTTTGTTCTGGAATGTTCCTCTGAATAACGCAAGTAAGTCCGAGCCGAGTTCTCTGTAAATTCCACGTTGACTTCCTGACTGTCCCAGTCCAAGTGCGGCTCTCGGCGCCTCCGGCTCCAGACAGCATGGTCCGTGACATCACGGGGTCAGAGGTCAGGTTTGTTTACCAATAGTCCAGGCACTGGCACTACATTCTCCCTTGTTTTTTTTTTGTAGGTTCGGAGCGGGGGCCTCCATCGTTCTGACACGATCTGGTTACTCTGACTGCAAAGCTACTGACTTGAAATTTTGTTTCAACCTGGGCCTCTACTACCGCCCTCTTCCCCCTTCTCTCCTGAAACAATGGGAGGATACTGAAAAACGAAACGCTCGACTGTGCCATATATCCCACGACCCGTGGAATGGACCCAGAACAAATAAATGGGATGGGGACTGTGGTAGATCCCCGTGCAAAAAGGAGCTGGAACACCCTCCCACATGCACAGCCTGTGTCTTCGAGGGTCTTCAAGGATGTTTTGATCCTTGAATACACCCAGGCGAGAAAGAAAAACACCTAAAGTTACCGTATACATAGCAAATGCATACGCCACTAGAAATGTGTTGATCCCTAGCAGCTGGTAACAGTCACAATAAGAGATGGGTTTATCTCTAAAACAGAGCAGTAGCGCTCGGATAGAATTCGGCTCGAAGACACCTCAGTAGGTGGTATTAATTTTGGGTAAGACAATTAGGTCTCAATTTAGATGGGAGTCCTTGACTCCACAACCACATACACAAAAGGCTCGCCCTGTATGAGAGGGACGAGTTATCGCCAGACTGGTGCACAGGCACCACAGGACCTGTTCTGAAATGCAAAACATAGCATGGTTAGTGCAACATAATGCTGTGGAGAGAACATACATTATGGGTTAATTGTCTTATCCAATGCCGAATGATGTGTGCTGAATTATAGGCGAACACACGCCCTGTTATGCATCTAGACCCTTAAGAAAAATAATGAATAAGCAACAACAGGGTCGGGACTGTGGCTAATCCCTAAAGAAAAAGCGAAACGCTCCCTGACGCATAAACTATCTCCAGTGTGCCCCAGGAATGTTTTGATTCCTGGATGCTATAAGACTGGGGAAAGAAATCACCCACGTTACTGTACATATATGAAATATGTACACCACTGGGAATGTGTTTATTCCCAGCAGCCCTGTAACCAAACTTAAAGAGATGTTTTGATCTCAATAATGAAATAAGCCGCTATGGCAAGTAGAATTTTGCTGGAGATATGGCAGCACGGTGGACGAATTTTGGGTGAGATTCCTTTTTATCTCAATCTTTAATGGAACCTCGAGGCTCCTCCTTGCCACATAACCCCGTAGGCCTAGCGCCTACTAAACTCCAAAAAGAGCACGCCTATAGAAACATAAAAAAATCGGCATCGTGAAAGGAAAAAGAATTCATGCTGCAACAAAAAATCCCTCGACTAAATCAAAGAATTACTAGCCCCTGAAGGGGTACCAAGAGAAGAAACAATGCCCGTAACTATTTGCCCGACTGGAAAGCAATCTTGTAAGGCGAAATGCCATGACCGTGGCATAGATGGGGGAAAGCCCAGAAGACACATTGCAAACGTCCCCTCGTAGCCTTCCATTGCCACTAAAAATTCTCCGGCCTCCGTCACAGGTGCTAACCGACGGATACGCACTAGCATACCCGCTCGTGGGACGGGCGGAGGCGCCTCGTCAGACTGCAGAGACATGGGTGGCGATCCGCCTTGCGTTACCAAAAGTACCAAGAGAAGAAACAATGCCCAATTAGGAACATTGACAAGGGGTACCAAGAGAAGAAACAATGCCCAATTAGGAACATTGACAAGGGGTACCAAGAGAAGAAACAATGCCCAATTAGGAACATTGACAAGGGGTACCAAGAGAAGAAACAATGCCCAATTAGGAACATTGACAAGGGGTACCAAGAGAAGAAACAATGCCCAATTAGGAACATTGACAAGGGGTACCAAGAGAAGAAACAATGCCCAATTAGGAACATTGACAAGGGGTACCAAGAGAAGAAACAATGCCCAATTAGGAACATTGACAAGGGGTACCAAGAGAAGAAACAATGCCCAATTAGGAACATTGACAAGGGGTACCAAGAGAAGAAACAATGCCCAATTAGGAACATTGACAAGGGGTACCAAGAGAAGAAACAATGCCCAATTAGGAACATTGACAAGGGGTACCAAGAGAAGAAACAATGCCCAATTAGGAACATTGACAAGGGGTACCAAGAGAAGAAACAATGCCCAATTAGGAACATTGACAAGGGGTACCAAGAGAAGAAACAATGCCCAATTAGGAACATTGACAAGGGGTACCAAGAGAAGAAACAATGCCCAATTAGGAACATTGACAAGGGGTACCAAGAGAAGAAACAATGCCCAATTAGGAACATTGACAAGGGGTACCAAGAGAAGAAACAATGCCCAATTAGGAACATTGACAAGGGGTACCAAGAGAAGAAACAATGCCCAATTAGGAGCATTGACAAGGGGTACAAGGGGTACCAGAGGCAGAGCATGGACGTTCGGAAGAGCACTCATGGCCCTAGCAATATAAGGATAGGGCCTACATCTATAATTCAAAAGGCTCTGTTCTATTGCATACCGGGATCACAGAAATACAACTCCTGCAGTAGGCCGAACCATTCGTGGAGATGATGTAAACGAGTACCGAGCCCCGAAAGAAAACGATGCTGGTGGTGACGATTTGAAGCGTCTACACAAAGAAAGATGCGCTCCTAGAATTTCATCATTTCCAGCACAATCTGAAAAGGAAGTGGTGCTAACACCTTAGGAGGAAAGAGAGCGCTTAAACGCGCGCAAAGTGTACATTGTTAATTCTAAC